TATATATAGGTAGTGACTCTAAGGGCTTTAGCTGAACCATTTATACCATGCCTCAAAAAGCACAGTTACATGTTCGCTGTCCATGAATTCCTTGAGATTGTGTGGATCGAAACCTTAACAGTTTAAAGCGAATAGAATTATAAATATACTGATTACTATTAACTTAAGTTTCAAACATATCGCGGATGAAACGCTATTCTTTTGATGGTTTCTTGTTTACTTCACCCTGCGAAGTTACAAGTGCTTCAGTGGTAAGAACAAACTGTATTTTGATTGGTTTTGAACTACTCGCGGCCGCACGTTATCGGCGCTCAGAACGTTGAATATACAAGAAAATGCGGTCAAGTGGAGCTCCTTCTCAGTCGAACTGTAATTGAACATGGCACAACTGGTAGTAGGCCATGCTCTCTAGAATGTCGTTATATTTGACGATAAGACAAAAATTGTTGTATGTTGCCTTGTGAACACAGGGGAGTTAATCATCCACGGAGGTTTGTATTTTATATGCCTTCACATGGTGAATGGAAGTATCCACACTTTTCTCGTTTGATGCGTTTGGTGTTGTGGTTGCTATTGGCTGTTGTATGAGAATCATGCGTTCGGTATTATCAGTATTTGATGGGTGCCATGGATTGGGAATGGTACTAACAATTCGACGAGAGTTTAAGTGCTTGTGTGGGGAAACTTTGGAGCAAAGTAAGCTCGCACTATTTCTTCGAGTTTGTGGTAGGTGCATCGCGTCGTAGTTGTAGTAGTGTACTCATTAGTCATTTGATCACGTTGCTGTCCTTACTACGAAGTCAGCATTGCAACTTTCACGGAACCAGGATAGATCGGGATTCCGTGGTGTTTCTTGAAGCTCTTGGAGTAGTCTGTGCACGAGATGAGTAGTCTTGCGGCGTGCAGATACAGTATTTAAATGTATCGATACCGGACAACTACGTCTGCGCGGCAAGTTCGAAGGGCAAATAGTGTCCAAAGATCAGTAGTGGTACTGAATTTAGGCTTACTGGTAGAGGTGAGCTTCTTGTGTTCACTGTTTTTGAGGTTACTGGCCACATGTAGTATTGCTGGATGTTTTTACGTATGCTAAAACATGTTTTTGGTTTACCTGTTCCCTAGATACCATCAAAATGTCGAAATTTTCTCCATATACCATAAGGATCTGCAAATCAATACTTGGAATAAATTAGGCGTTGTGAGAATTTTTGCAGCAATGAACTGCATGTATTTGGTTTTTAGCACTAGTGAAGACAACTTTTTACTACTCGGTTTTTCTGACTTACAGCCTAGACCGTGTGGCTCATATAAATGTTGTCAATATCACATCAGTCATCTGTTTGGAGCTTTTCTACGTTGGACCCATCGTTTGTCCTTGACCACTATCATTTGTCACATTCGGACCTGCGATCATCACACCGTTCTGTACCAGGCTTCCCTTGCACCTCATCGCATTGTCTAGTACGTGCCACTTTAACGGATTACGCAGCCCGGTTGAGTCCCAACTGATGTCCCTGTATCCGAACTACTGGCTTCAATGTCTAACCTAACGTTTCCACCGGTCCACACTAACGGAAAACCTTTCAACATATACATGTTCATAACCGCATCTACGTGTCATTATTTGGAGCCGTCGCCTCTAGTGCGCTATTCTATTGTTGTGTACGACGAGGGTCAGAGTGCAACGACAATCAGAATGACAATGGAAAAGACTGAGGGCCCGAAAGCTAGGCTTTATTCATCCACAACTTTGACACTGAGAGCTGAAAACGGAAGAAAGTGATTTAGCAATAAATGATGAAACGTTTGAAAAACAGAGCAAATATACAACATCTATTCACTATTGAAGAAAGCTAACAGTTGAAACTATTGTAGTCAATAGTTTATATCTGATGATGATAACGATAGCATTTCTTGCACAACCATAAGAAATAACAAATTTCGCCTTGTGGACAACGGTGGCCTTGTACTCAATTGATATTTGATTTTAAACATCGGCTTCTGATCTTGCGATTGCTTTTTTGTCGTTCTAGATCGTACCTTTACGACCTGACTTCCGCATCACACTGGAGGTCTATTGTATGTCCATTGGCGCTGACAGTGCATCTATGGTCCCGAGTGTAGACTCTCCACAGGCTCTGGGCTCGGGCTCTGCCCCCACGACTCCATCTATGGCACGGACGCCAAAATCAAAACACATTTCAACTACCCCACTTCCCAATTCGGCTTCGGTTCGAAGCAAAAAAATGCGCCTCCATGGAGAATCTCATAGTGCTGTTCGCGAGCATGCGATGAGTGCCCTGACAGCTTGTCTGCCCACCACGCGTTTGATGTCTCCGTCATTTGCTACGGATAAATCATCTCTTACCGGTCAAAATAAGCTGGCAGGTAAGGATATGTTGTAAGGCATTTCGGGTTGTGCGCCCGAATTTTCCTCATATTATACTACGTATGTTTATGTTAGAGCACGATTGTACATAGCCAATGAACCCCCTCATTCCCAATATTGATTCTGGTTTAGTTTGAGGATTTCTCAATTTTCGGATGATTAATGCGGTCGAAACGACCCAGTACCAGATAACGGAAATGCCGTATCTTTTGTGTGGTCTGATATCAGTATTGGCTCCAGGAACATCACATTCGTAGAGTTCGCAATTAAGTTAATTCAACTCATCAGCTATAAATCGTTTACCATGGGCACATTGGTTTCAGCTTTTACAGTTTCGATCACCGGAAAGCGGAGAGTGTGGGATATACAGTCAAGGTTTGAAGGCGACGCCATGTTCGGTTTGTTCGGAGATTGGCTAGCTACGCATTAAAGGCGATAACTTCGATGCTCGAGCGCCATTGACCGCACGATTGGACCATTTCTGCCAATGTCATTAACTATTGTTGTTTTGAGTCCCGAGGTCCCCATTCAGGGAGGCGGTAGTTGCCGATCCAACTGAGATTACTGGTTAGTGTTTTCATACTACGTTGCTTGCCAACACTGTTCACCTCTCGGTCGCTTCCACTCAGCACAGGGCTGGGCAAAAAGAGCTCTGTGAGGCAGACGGATTACACGCCCTTACCAGCGTAACTTATGAAGTGTAAGTAATCCGTCTATCGCGGAAGAGTTCCTTCTTCTTATGACCACCTGGCGTACCTCCGTGAACCATGTTGCTGCCTAATCCAGTGGTTCTCCTCTGGAGTAGGGATTTCCTGGTTTCAAAGAAGACGGAGGCCACAAACTCAAGCTTGTGGGCCCGTTTCCTCTGTGTTTGAAGTCTGTCACAGTAATTAAATCTTTTTCAAACACGGTGAAGCGGACCTTATAAATCACAAATTTGATGTCTGACCCTTTTCCATACGGAGAAAGGGATAGACGTGATTAGAGAGACTGAGCCACTGGCCCAAGCAGTCATTGACTAGCTAATGAAGCAGTGGTTATTGTCGCTTTTAATTTCGTGGAACAGGCGTCAGGATTTTGCGCAATACTACTTCACTAATGTATAGCCATGGCAATTCAGCCTCGAATGGACTTCGGCGTAACGAATACACTTCATCGTTTATCCATCCAATGTTTCGGTGATGCCGATTGCCCACGTCGGTTAGGACCGATAGTCGCTTATTGCAATAGCGAGCTGGTGACGGATATCGTGTTTTCACTTTTGATCGGATCATCACCTACCGTCAATATCATGTTCTGGAAGCGTGTCCTCATGTGGTCCATTATTCGTACGTGATGATTAAGGGATGAAGGACGCTATTTCCTTCTAAACTGGTTGCAACATATATGCAGAAACATCAAACTAGCATTTGCAGTTAGCACTGGGCCATTGTTGCTACTCGACCATGAAGTTAAACCAGTTGTTTCCCTCTTCCTTAAACGGATTCATAGGGTTCCGTAGGGAAGAGCATGGTAGCAACTTTTAAACGCCTGTCGAACCCTTTCGGGTTCCTCTTCTCCATTTTTTATTATTGTCACTTTTCATTTTACCAGCCACCTATTCTCATATTCGGTTAGATCGTAGGCACCTCGGAATGATTGTGGTAAGCTAGCACTAAATCCATTCCCCGTACACCTTTACTCTTTTTTTTACAATAAGGCTTTCAAATAAATCATGGTTGTACAGCAGTGAAGCATCGGTGTTGAACACTGATGTCATGCTGTCGATGATCGGTCAGACCGTGTATGTTGGCACTTGGAGATGCGCTTTAGCCGCTCCGAAGCTACTCGGTGAAACTAGACGGTTAACAGAGCGATATGCCCCAAAAACAATCAGCCGTACATTTTGTGCACAGGCTGCATTCCCGCTGCATATCTTAGGGCGTGCCCATGCATATGCTTGTGGGCAGATCATATTTAATGCCAAGACGCTTAGAAAAGTGACAACAAATCCGCGGCAACTTTGACATCTCCACCGCATACTGAATAAACTTGCAGATATCATAACGAACTGTCAGACCCCAAGTGAGGATCTGGTAGTGTTTAGTGTCACATGCAGGCCTGGGCTAGAGTGAGGTGAGAGCACAAACCCCATAATGTTTGTTCAACTTGTCCTACCACTCGCCTCGCTCTGCCAGTTAGTTCATCTGACGAAAGTCTGTACGCCATCTCTCCGTTCCTTATCATTTTACCGATCATCATACTGTCCGGTGCTGTCAGGAGCACTCGTGGTAAGTTGGGTGTAATTTCAGCTTTTCCATGTTAACCACGCTTCATCTTACGTTTTACGTTTCCATCGTAATTACTTTAGTGTTCATATGGCTCCTGTGAAGGAAATTTAGGCATCGTTAGACTCGTGTCCTGAGGAAGTGTACAGCTGATTGGTGTGATGCTAATGTACCAGAAATGTTTGGCAAGATTCAGCAATAACGCTTTCGGCACCGTATAAGTTTAAAAAGTGGTGACAAACCAACCGCCCATGGAATCCGAATTTTGAGGACTTCATTGTCCGTAAACCGTATACGGGTGGCACATCATTTTCATACTAATTCTGTCCATTATCTTCCACCATCATATTGAGCTGTAAAAACCGTCTAGTTGTACAGTGGTTATAGCTGCTACATTTTCATTTGCCGATGCTCGGATAGGTAAGGCTGGATGCGATATCTTTTCTAATCGATGCGTGCATACAGGGTTTTCAGTAGGCTTTTCACTGGGGAGTTCGGGATGCAGAGCATACAAAGCAACAGCTGAGATGCACGCGGGACTTTTCTGTGTCTTCTCACTTACGCTCATTCGTCTCTACAACGTACGTTGTCCGTGCTGAAAATGAGAATCTATGCTCTTAATATGTGGGGTATAAATTAATGTGCTGACGCACCCCGCGAACCAGTTTTTTCAACTGGTTATAGGTTAAAACAAATATGCGACTTCATTGAAGGCCAACAATAACATGTGCGTTAACATTTTCCTGGTTTTTAGGAGTTACCAGAGAGCATTAACAAGCTTCCCAATACTCGAAATTTCTCCCCAGATGAGTTTCACTGTTCAAAGTATTTTGTTTTAGCAAAATTATATGACCGAATAGCCTCGTGACGTACCAAAGTAAATTTAGGATGCTAAATGGACAATTCGTGTCACTTACACTACAGTCCTCAGCGACACCAGTGTTCTTTTCGTGACTTAGCTTGATCAGTACTTTACTTCAGTCCTAGTACAGGGTAGCACTTTCCGGGGCATAGGAAACGGACACTACTAAATATAAATAGTGAAGCCGGCAAATGGAGTAATGCATGCGCAATAGTTCCATATGCATCAACTACTGTATTCGGGTTCCAGTGCTGACCCCATCCCCATGTTTACATGGTCAAAAGACTTCTATCTTCGGTGGGGCATACCGGGTTGCCGTTGTTTTCTACTTTTTATTATTGATACTCGAAGTGCTGCGGTATTTTCAACTTCCTATTTAGCCTTCACACTTTTGTCGTCTGTGGATATTCGTTACCATGATGATTTGCTTCTGGGTCACTTGCGCCCTAATGGTGAATCGACTGTCCCTCAGTCGCGGCGCTCTTCTGGAATCGAGAAACCGAATCACCTCCCGCTGAGACTTCCGCGTTTGCCACGATCAACTCCGCTTACTGGACATGTTGGGTTGTTGAACGCCGTGGTGCGGCTAGAGGCGCGGGTATTGACTCGCGGCTTTTTGGTATGTTGCTCTTATATCATGTTTTCTTTTGTTTGTCATCCTGCCTTTCTTCAAGATTCAAGGTTTTTCACTATTTTTAGAACTAGTGGTTTTAGGCGGTAGCCATCCACAACGAATCCCGAAATTGTCCAGCAGGCTTCGAGCGCGCTTTCGTGCTACCTGACTGCGAGGTCAATGCTGGGACCAGCTCAACAAGCACTGGCACTTCAGTGTCTGGAGCGTTGTGCAAGCGGATCATATCGATCAAGCGTGAAAACTTTCACTTATTCGGGCGTGCTAATTCAAGTGCGTGGTAACTCATTGACGTCGCACGTCAGACGTCTGATGTTCAAATCTCTGATTTTCTCGAATATGAGCGAAACTCGATTCCGGTCCTCCCTGCCCGCTCTGGACTCACCTAAAGAATCGCGTTGAACAGGAAGAGGTGTCAAGCTACGGTGACGTGAATGCAAATTCTACAAGTCCTGTAACAACTTGCAACCTTGTAATCCTCAATCACAATATAGATGATGCCATCTTCCTAGGGCAGTTTCTGTACAACACGAACGAGGCACGGGGGCCGACTCACTGTTAGGTGTCTCAGTCTTAGACAAGAACTGGTCCTCGAACTTTCCGGCCTGGAGCCCGCGTCATATCCGCCACGCCCTCCGTTGCCTAAACGCTTAGCCTACAGGAAACAGCCGAGGTGCCTACATCTTCTGCACTCATTCAAACAATCTAGATGGGACGCCACTGACACCGGTTAGCCACCGTGTCATCCACTGTCCAGCGAAGCACGGAGAGGGTCATTTCGACTCCATCCTGAAAGGCAAGCAGCAGCAACGACACCCAAACTTTTCGTAATATTCTTCATTCCCTTCTGCCAAGTTGAATTCTGCCCAACTCTAGGTTTCCGCCACTCCGAATCGGGCACAGATAAAAAATCTCGTCTCAGCGGGCGGTAACCCGGCCTGGGTGGCACATTGCCCAGCCAGCCAGCTTAGTTTGCTGTGTTGTATGCATTCTTTGAGCGAAATACCATCTGTCTCGTCAAAATCTGTCTTTTGAACACTTCACTGTGAATTCGATTATTCCAATCGATTCCAGCTATACTTCTGAGACATTGGTGGTCATAGACCCGAATATTTCCTGAATACTCATCCTAAAGTGGCCAATGATATAGTTTGCTACCCACTTTCTTTGAGACTCAGTGGGATGCCTTTTTGACACAAGTGGCTCAGCATGGCGAACGCGATTCTGACCTTCGAGGTCCGTGTGTTCACTTCATGATAGGGCTGCTAATACGATGTAGGTGGCCTTTTTAATCGATATTTTATCTTGAGTGAAACCATTCTGTATTGAAAAGCCTAGAAGCACTGTACAGATGTTTCATCCTTATTGGGAACCATCACTGGTGCGCATCTCATGTAACTCCAGCAGGGATTTTCGAACCGGTGACCCCGTGGCCAGGACTGGCTGATCTACTATGTGATTAGGTCACATTTAGGATACAGCGCCACTCATCCTTCAATCCACATCATACATGATGATTAGCTCTTCAAGTGATGCTTTGTGTTTCAGTTCGAGCTAAACGCACTGCTGGTCAGCCGTTCGTGCCCAGACAGCCAAGCATTCAAACTACTGGCCGTGAGGTCACGGCCTGAGATGTACAATGCTGATAATTTCCAGTAAGGATGAAACGGCTGTACGCTACTGCCAGGCTTTTCAACATAGATAGGCTCTGCTCACAGAACGAAGTCCCCATCAAAAATTCCCTATTCTCTCCATACTACGAAGGTGTGTGGCCTCTTTACCACCTTAAATGTTATGGTTATCTCTAATCTTCATCTGTCGGTACTCAAATAAGCAAGGTGCCCACTTACTATGGCTTACTTCCTGAAGAGGGTGGACCGATTCCTTAATGCAGCGGTACGTTCCTGTCTTACGGATTTCGAGAAGTATGTACATAGCGTGCGGAAGCATGAATCCCATCAAAATCCTAATGCGTCTTTAGCGAGCGGTGTATCATCATCAGTCGTCCAAATTTCGATTCAGCGTGGTACCAACATGGTTTGCACATGTGGACATGGGTTATAGTATATTCGCCGGAATCTATCCTATTTAATTTTGTTGCCAACGCTCAGGCGAGCGCGTATCAAATGTCTTCGTACATTTGGCTTTTTAGACTGTATTCGAGGAAGCCGGTGGTTTGGGAGTATGGCGTCGTTACTGGTGTCAACTTCGCGCAGACCATCTGAGATTTTGGCGTTATCCCGAGGATGAACAGCGAGATCCTAATGGTACCGGTTCATTCCGAAAACCTGTGGGACGGATTGATTTAAGGCACATTGCTGCCCCTAGAGCTGTCCCTGCGCCGCGACGAATTTGTGCACGAGCCAACACCATATTTATGCGGTCTTTGCGTGCCATCGAACCGGGCTGTTTGTCAGCTTCTGTCAATGCAGCAAAGCTCTCCGACTCTGGGACTGACTCAAATGAAAGTATTATTTTCCGGGCGTCTCCGGACTATAATTGGTTGGAGCAGAAGTAAGTTTTACGCACCTGGTACTATTCTTTTTTCCACTTATAAAGGTTGACACAGAACGCTCTCTGAGATTGTTAATTTCATTGATTCACCCGCAAGCTAATTTCTTCTGTCGCGTAGCCGGGCTATCCCTTATTGTGTACGATTGCGTAATCTAACTCCAGTTAGGGAAATAAGGGGACTCTTCATGAGCTTTTGAAACCGCTATCCAACTACTTGCCTGTGTTTTCCCTAACGCAATATCAGCTCCCTTATTGTTCTGCCGACTGGTGACCTTAGGTTGCTTGGAGCGCATGTGAACGGACATATACCACATAACAGGGCAGGAATAGCTTTTTTCAAACTATAACCATCGAGGATTGAGCTAGGTGTCCAGTTCTTCTCTGTGTGACTGTATGAAAAAAACTTGAAGAGATCTTGGAATTCTTTCACTGGCATCCTAAACCCTTGCGCGACTGCTTATGTAGAATCGTCTTATAGCATCCAACCTGTGGTTGGTTTGACGTTTGGCGCCCCTTGACTTTCGCTTTACGGACGTTCTACTACCCCCACAAATTTATATATACGTGCACTTCTGATCAAAGCGTTTCGAATGCTATGAGTGTGAATCGATCATAATATCTGGCCTATTAGAGTAAAAAAATGTGATTTTGGATTCAACATTTTCACAAAAATACAACATCAAGTAAACGGGATCGACTGGAGGATCTTTGCTCATTTGCGAACGGTTTGAGGTTAGTCGTCATTGAGCTGAGCACCACATAATCGGAGTCGTCTGCTGGTTACACATGTGTTCAAGAATAAATGGAGGGATCGAGAGTAAAACATTGAATAAGTGGATCACGTTACAGAAATGAAGATAGGGTGGACAGGAAACGATCGATATCTTTTTGGCACAACCCTTGGATTGCTACTTGTCTTTAAGGTAGTGTGAAAAAGTATTTATTCCGTCCTTTGTCGTGTATTTTGTCTCCTTGTGGGCGAGATGGACCAAGTGGTTAGAGCGCGAATTTACTGACCGGAAGGTCCGTGGTTCGAACCCGACCTCTGCCACTCGACTTCCCCTGTCTAGGCTGGTCAACCTGGCAGTATCCCAGCCCTCGTGCCTCCTTCGTGTGGCATGGCAGCTAGGCACCGAAAGGGTGCTACAGCTGGATGATTATTTTTTATTTTTTTATTTTGTCTCCTCCCTGGCCGAATTGGTGGAGCTAGGCTGATGCAGGTTTGGGGGTAAATTGGAGCATATTTGATGGACTGATTTTTGATACAGACTTCCTCAGTCATGAAAGTTGAACGATTGTCAATATCATCTGGGTCAACAAAAATCGTCCGTGGAAGGTTAGATGGCGGAGTTGGGTAGATGTCAAAAATGGAACAGCCACCATCTAATGTTCTGATGGTTTGACAACTGACGGTTAAAATGGTTGATAGGACGACTTCACGAATCGATTATCGCTTCATTTTTTTCAGAATAAAGGGCAATTATGCCCAATGATACAGTGGTTCGGTGTGAAAAAGGACAGCAAGTCCCGCAAGGCTCCTAATGTTAACCTCGCCATAAATTCATATTTATGATCGCAGTGGATGACAATATGTGGCCACAGTTCAAAGAGCAGAGTTCTATATTTGTTTCCTCGAATATAAATCGGAGCTCGGTGTCGGACAGTAGTTTTCCATGTTCGTACGAATATGGTTTGTCACAGATGAATGTTCTCTTTAACGGAAGAACGGTTGTTTAATGGCTCTGAAGGAGATCTATGGGAAAAAAATTTCGGTCGCCCAAAGCTTGAACATATAAGCTTCAAATGTGACTAGAAACTGACACTCACATCATTATTGACATCTCTTCCGAAGCCAAGCACAGGTAGGATGTTTTGCGGATAAGTAGTGTTCAGCACTTGTATATTTTATCTCTTCAATGGCTTCAACTTAATCCATCTTCCACAGGCATCTTCTGTGTGCTGACACTGCACAGGAAAGAGATTCGTGGGTTAATTGGATCAACTTGTGCCTGAACGCTTTGAAAAACTGGATGCCCGAACACTTCGCTTGTCTGGCTCGATTCGACGCCCACCTCGAATTCAGTCAACCGGTTTCCTCTGATTTGGCCTCCTTACTATTACACGAAGAAGAACGATTTGGCGTTGTTTCCGAATGAACTTGTGCTCTCTCCTCCCTGGCTTAACCTTCAACCGCGCACCTGACGCGATATCTCCGAAATCTACACCGAAACCACGCCATTACGCCGTTTCGATTTGTTGCACCAATCATGTGTACTAGCTTACATCATTCTATCCTTTTTGCTATATGTTATCTCGTTTCAATACTTCTAAACTGGCTGTTTTTTTCACTCAATTTTTCCACACATTTGCTTCACCTTAAGAACAAGCCACAATCGCCACGGTTTTTTTTCAATTTTAGGAGCGCTCCTGAAATCACTCTAACACAAGTCAACATGTTTAGCTCGTAGCGAACACCTAGTACATTATTCCATCTACACCCGACCGAGATTTGCCATTTTCACTTGGTGCTTGAATGGTGCAATTTTCCCGCCGCCCACATTGGCTGAAGTCTTGGTCGTTAGTCATGCTAACGAGATCACAGGGAATCATCCACGAATTAGACAGCTAGTCCCCGTACTAAAAGTGATCTGCAATGGAAGTGTGAAGGCAACTATTTTTAGACGACCGACATTTCTGTACTTATGGAAGCAACTGGAATAGTCCCCTCTCCAGAAAGAGCGGGTTATAAAGGGTCTGTCCTAAAACCAACACACTCCGATCGGCTAACGGGTAACCTTAACTTCCAGCGCAATAACTCCTGCCTAGGGCCAGGTGCAACTTTAGGTGCGTCTTCTGTGCATGTCAGCATTAGGAATCGAATATCCCAGCCTCAATGTGTATCCTCAAGCTAGATCATTCCTCCACAGACTATTGAATCAGGTACCATAGACAGGAGCCTGAACAAATATTGTTACATCATACTGACTTTTGGGTCTGAGCATTTAGTGGAAAGCTCACGGTTGTACGCCTCAATCAAAAGCCCTTCAGCCTGCGCAGCTGAAAATCAACATCTACCCACTCAGCGTAGAAATAGCACGGTGATCATTTCATTCCTTTCCGGTTCCAATTACTCATTCGCAAATACAGTCGTCTGTTCATTAGAGCCCTATGCCGAAAGAATAAAAATGAAAAAACCTTGTCACTGTTCAATGTAGCGTGATGTCTGTCCAGTCCTGCGAACAGATCGACGGAGGCGCCGCTCTCATCCTTTACCTCGCAGAAATCTGTTCGTTATGTACCCGGAACATTCAAAAAATAGTCTATTATGGTAGTGAGTTGGAACTTACTCCAGATCAGCTTGTATTATTCCCTGAGTGTCGAGTGGTCCAGAAATGGAACCCTGCGGTATAATTGGTGTGAGGGCTGCGCTGGATATTATAGCCAAAGACGCTCGATTAGATTTCCTATAATTCACTAAATTAAGTCGTACTGGCTGTTGTCAGAAATCTATTTGTTTACTCTTCATATGCCGCAGACATCGCAGCAGTGTTACTTAAAAAGTTCGTTTAAGTATAACTTAACAGGTTCTTCTGACGACAATGTGAGCGGTTATCAGTCAATCAGTTAATTCAATTTATCGGCTATAAACCACGTGCCATAGGCACATTGATTCCAGCTGCTGCAGTTTCGGTCACCGGATAACGGGAAGCCTCGGAGGCGTAGGCATGCACAGTTTGTTCGGAAATCGGGTAGCTACGCATTAAAGGCGATAACTTCGATGCACGAGCGTCATTGACTGCGCGATTGGGCCAGTTCCGCCAATTCCACTGACCATTGGTGATTTGAGTCCCCATCCAGGGAGGCGGCAGTGGCCCACCCGACTTAGTTTACTGGCTAGTGTTTTCGCACTTCGTTGCCAGGTCATAAGCTGTCCACCTCCCGGTCGCTTCCACTCAGAACAGGGCTGGGAGAAAGGATCTCTGTGAGGCAGACTGTCTTCTGGCATGCGGTGTGCATGTCCCAACCAGCGCAACCTATGAAGCGTGAGTAATTCAGCTATCGCAGGAGAGCTCCTTCGTAAGCCACGTGGCGTACCTCCATTACTAATCCGATGTTCCCACCAGACCTGACCAATGCTTCGGAGACACCGATGATCAAACACTGACATTCTACGAATGTCCTCTGCGCGTGGAGGCCAGGTCTCTGATCCATAAGGCAGTGGGGATCGCACCAGCGCAGTGTAAGCTTTTCCCTTGACAGACAAGCTCACGTCACGTCGATGCCATAGGTGTCGGAGGTTGGCAAAATATACCCTGGCCTTTTTGATTCGAGAAATAATCTCATCTCCAGCCAGTCCATCGCAACATATGCGACTGCCCAGGTAAAAAATTTACCAACCACGTTGATTGGCTCATATACGAGTATGAGGTGTGGGTTCGGTCCCACCCGATCTCGTAGCTGCACTTTACGCTTTGCAGGCATGAAACACATGCCGAACCGTGCGGCACAGTCGTTTAGATTATTCAAAATTGCATTTGGGAAGGATCTGACCCAAGGAGAGCAATATCGTCCGCGTGGATGTCGTCACCTTTGATGCCGTTTCGAAGACTCAAAAGGGCAATGCCACCTTGGCGACGGATTTGGTGTAGTTGTTCCATGAACCGTCACTGGTGATCGCTCCTTACAGTTGTGCGAATCAATATCTGTTCGTCGAGGGCACAAACGTGCCTTTTGCTGACCTCATTCAGTCAACCAAATGGCACGAAACCTTGTGCCCAAAACCGTCATTATCCTTGGGACTTTTGTGCATCCTCAGATCATGCCCTCTGTCGCGCCAATGTTGCAGGTGTCCCCTGACGACAAATAAGACAGGCTTCTGCTAGTGTGAAATCCACTGATCGCAAGATGCAGCCTCCAAAAAATTAGCAATGAGACTTACTTATTTTCTTAGCTTTGCTCATCGATTAACTTTACGGATTCCCCTACCCACACTGTCGTCGTATGCCATGGCGAGGTGAACCACCGTTCATTGTTGTCAAACTGAAATGAACCTGTCTAACGGCCTCATCCATAATACTGTCACAGCTTTTAGTGACAAGTTATTCAGGCGTACTTAGCGCCCAGGCAGTTTAATGGATTTTTCTCAGGCTGTTCATTCAGAAGTTGAGAATTACTCATTCACGTCCTCTAAGGAACAGTGCGGCTGATGTTTTTTTCACCCCACGACGGGAAAAGCTGGATTGCTTAAATTACATCATGAAGACAAGTAACGAACCGATTACTTTCGGGACCCCGTACCCATGTCAATACTCATCTAAGAGTTACACAGTGAAAATTAAACAATACAGTTACAAGCGAGTTACGATATGTCCAACACAATAGGTACTTTTTATGGACAACAAAGTGACTGATAGAATCAATGGTCAGTTGACTGGTTGGCTCGGCGCCTGCCTGACCTTTGGGTGTGTCGGAGGTACCTGTCACTAGACCAAGGCGAGCTAAGTGCTTCCGGTGACATGGCTGGATTCTTCAGGCGTACTGCAATAGTCTCGGCCGTTCCAACCAATCCTGAATCAACGGTGGCAGCCAGCATAGAACAAGGTAGTTAACTCGAGACGCTATGATAAAGTTGACAACGTGAAGTGTCCTTTCAGATCAGGACGAAAATTACAAAATCTCACCAGGGTCATTTAGTGTTGCTTGCATTTCTGTGGGGTCCCACCCCAGACGAGTCACATCGCTTTCATACCCAAGTTCTATAGCCTAAAGCCTAAGGGCTATTCCGACAACAGAACAGGGATTATTAGTTGATCGCATTGATGATTAGTCTGAAAAGCGGGACATTTTTGGTTGAAAGTGACAAACATTTCTGTAAACATCTGCCCACAGGATTTGGCACATAAGGCTTCCAAGAAACTCACGAGTTTCCGTAATATGGGCGAATAAAACTGGTGTACAACGAACACTACGGTTCAACAAATCATTCAGGCAGATGAAGAAGATGCTCATCTCTGCTGGGCTGATGTTCTAAAGTCTGCGTTTGGCAAAGATCCATCTATGACGTGGAGGATTAGGGAATTCCTTTGTTGCCCCGGTACCAGGTTGAACTCAAGCAAACAAAGCCCTTTCGTGCACGCGCGCAATGCATCAGGATACCAGTTTTGCCTGCTTATCCCAGAGGCAATGCTGTCACTCTATCCGACGACAATACTGGGTATCTTAAGTCAATTTGAGTGGGTTTCTGACGATGTACTCAATGTATCGCCCCTCGAACAGCCGGAAAATGAATTTTTGGGTGCGCGATTTTCCGTCTCCCTGCGCTATCTTAGCTACTTACTTCGCTTTATAAGTAGTATGTTTTTCAGCGGAAGTTGAACATACGGTCGCGCTTAGCAGTTGGCTTGTAAGCGTTTCGTCACCATTCGAGAAAACAACGTTTGTGCGCCTTTGCGTGACTCCACCCACACAGTGGGACCGCATACAACCGAGTTTGTTAATTAAATGGTCAGTTATCGAACCGAGACTAGCTCAGGTTTCACTGCGGCGGCCGGGCCGATGTGTGCTGAGTTCGAAGTTACTGCTTTATCTACGGGATGGAGAGCGATTTCATCACTTCAGTGTGTTTCTCACCCAGTACTCGTACTACAGGCGTCAAAGGAAAAAAGCGCTGGGCTCTTGAACTACCGGTCGACCGTGTGTGCTGCACGTACCACTTAGTGACTAGTGTATTCCTCGTGTGTTAGCTGTCATACATGTGCTCGACTACGTACATCGTCAGCACATCGCCTCGGCTGGCTCCAGGGTGCGATTCAGACTGTCACTGATACTGATTAATTAAGTCATATGCAAAAACAAGAGGTAAATAGGTCTCGAATGAATCGCTTGTCTTTGGTTGTCTCCATGCAACCGTGCATTGTAGACTGTCTGGATTCAGATATCCAAAGTATCGACCGATGGTTTTTATTCATTAGTGATCACAAAATGTCGGTTCCATCTGAAGTTGAGGTGGATGCTCAGCTACAAGTTGTGGGCATTCATTGTCCACGGCCGAACCAACAGGTCTACTCAACAGGTAATAACTTAAGGGGGTATTACTCGTTAGGTTCATCTCAACATCTCTCAAATGTTTCTGTGTACATAACGCCACCAATGTAACAGCTAGGCTGCCTTCCTTCGAAGAATAACGGAGAAAGAAAGTCGAGGAATTGCAAACCTCGATCGTACAACGGTTGGCAGTGAACGTCGGCGCATTATTCACTATTGTCGAAATAGATATTTTCCAAAAACAAAGCAGTCTGCTGCTGCAGTCGCACTGGACGTCAGACGGCAATACCGTACTCCCTGCTCCCTCGGTCCAGGGCAGCCCCGTAACTCCATGTGGGTCAGACTTTAGTCAGTGGTTCATGGAAGGGTCTCCAAAGGAAACTTTAACGACCGCTGCCTCGTTAATCAGACTTGGGTCAGAGGCTATGGGAAAGGTACCTGAACAAAACCCTACATCCACCCTTTTGAGAACGGAGCTCTTCGACAGTGATTCCCGTATTCGGAGATGGTGCAGGAACGTCGTGCAGATAACCGCCATGGCAAAAGTATAGTGGTTCTATCTTCCAAGATGTTCTCTGCAATTATCCTACACAAGTTGCTTTGTCATTGGGGGGAATGGATTCGCGAAAATCAAAGCTGGATTTACTCTGGTCTTGGTTATGTCGATCAATTCTTTACCTTCACGTAAGTGCTGGAACTGTGCCGCATCATCCGACAATCAACAATGGTCGTATTTCTCAATCTCAAATATGCTGTTGGCTGTTGACCGCCAAAAGCTGTGGCAGTGTCTGAAAATGAATGGTTTTCTTTATCAGTTTTTGTCTCTTAATAAGCCTTGCCTTATCCGTGCAAGCCTACATATCCACGGCAAATTCTCTCTTGAATTCCCCACATCCAGCAATGTCAAGCAGGGACCCCTGTATCGTCCTTCGTAATCCATGTGTTGCATCAGTTCTATTCACCTGCCTGTGACACCACGGAGATCAAAATGCTCTCAGAGCGGTCGCTCACGGACACTGAGTACGGCGAGGATATTGCTCTCCTTGGACCAGACCGTTTCAAAATGCCAATTACTTTAACTAACCTAAATAATTCTGCCGCACAGCTCGGAATGCGCTTCACAGCCGTAAACTGCGAAATGCTACTGCAAGACCGGGTGGGATCAAACACAAACCTCGTGCCTGCACTGAACCGATCGATGTAGTAGGTAAGTTAGTTTAATTAAGAATCCTAGGGTAGACTCTGCTAACCTCCGACATATATGACACCTGCTTACATGTCAACGGTAGAGTGTACAATTCCGCTGTCCGATCTGTTCTACTTAATGGATATAAGACGTGGAAGTCCTTCAAAGGCTCTCTGCGTTTGGATATCGCTGCCTTCGAAGCATTCTATGCGTCTGATGAGTCTACAGGATCAGTAATGCTGAAGTACGCCAGGTGTTTTCTGGGAATTTGATTCTCCCTTAACAGATTAACTGGTCACACTTCACAGGTGCTCTTTGGGGCATGTACTTCGTCTCAGAGCCCTCCTCACCCAGTCTCGCGCGGGATAAAGACCTCTCAGGGTGATCAGTCTATGGCCTTGCAACCAGGCGTGAAACCTCTTATCAGGCAACTGGGTCGCTTTATCAATAACCGTCTTCCCTGATGGGGACCATCCCTCCTACACCGGACAAACAGAACCATTTAGCGTTAATGAACTGATCAGGCTATCGTCTCGAACGTGTGGCTGTCATTCCCATATTATCCATATCCTCGGCGGACAAAACTATGGCAGCTGGGACCAGTGCAATTGTGAGCTGAATTACTGAACTGGACTGCATCATCAGAATGAGCCTGCTTCGAGTAGTTGGAGGCGCATTTCAATTCCTTCGGGTTGATGTGCGTTGATTAGCGTCGTTATGATTTACTGGCGTCAAAACTCAAAAAATCCTGTTTAC